GATCAGGGTGAGCATTAATGATCTGAGAGGAGGTTCTAGAGATCAGGATGAGCATTAATGATCTGTGAGGAGGTTCTAGAGATCAGGATGAGCATTAATGATCTGTGAGGAGGTTCTAGAGATCAGGGTGAGCATTAATGATCTGTGAGGAGGTTCTAGAGATCAGGGTGAGCATTAATGATCTGAGAGGAGGTTCTAGAGATCAGGGTGAGCATTAATGATCTGAGAGGAGGTTCTAGAGATCAGGATGAGCATTAATGATCTGAGAGGCGGTTCTAGAGATCAGTAAAGAGCTTCAGAGCTCTGCAGAGAGACTCTAAAGATCAGGATGATCTTTATAGATCTGTGAGGAGGTTCTAAAGATCAGAAAGGATCTTTATAGATCTGTAAGGAGGTTCTAGATATCAGTAAAGAGCTTCAGAGTTCTGTTGTTATTTGGAGCTACATAAATAAACTGAACTGAATTGAATTGTGAGGAGGTTCTAGATTACGATGATCTTTATAGATCTGTAAGGAGATTCTAGAGATAATTGAAGAGCTTTAGAGATCTGTGGGATTCTAGATCTCTAGATCTAGAATTCTAGATATTCTAGGGGGGTTCTAGAGATCAGAAAGGAACTTTAGAGTTTTGTGAGGAGGTTCTAGAGATCAGGATGATCTTTATAGATCTGTTAGGGGGTTCTAAAGCTCAGTAAGGAACTCAGATCAGCAAGAAGGTTTTACACGTCCAGAGGAGGTTCTGCAGATATTTTTTTCTAGATCTCACATATTCCATTTAAGTTCCTAAATGATAATTGGGGACGTTCTTCTTAATGAGTCTGTAGTGGTCAACAAGAGGCGACTGAAATCAGAAAAAAGATTTTAAAGGTTCTAAACTTTAGAACCTTTAAAATCTAAAGGTTCTGTTGATGTTTTCACAGTCAGTGAATTGTGTCTAGACATAAGTGAAGACGGTTGGTGAGACGGTCTCTCGTCTCTCCATCACAGTCTTTGTTCTTCTATCATTTGGTTGGTATTTGTTAGTTCTGCTCCGTGTGTTTTACTTTGTTCTCAGTTGAACCTGTAGCGGTGATTTCAGGACTCTACGAACAGAAAGTTAGATTTTATAAGAAAGCTCTGAAATTTTAGACAGATTAAACAAAAACCTTGAGTTTAGTAAATATCTCAAGATCTGCCATTACAACAGTTTTTATATAATAAATTATTCGGCCAACAAGACTTTGAATCACCGCCAGCAAACTTCAGCAGCTCTCATACAATAACAACAACAACAATAATAATAATGATTATAATAATAATAATGATGATGATGATGATGATGATAATAATAATAATAATAATAATAATAATAATAAACATAATAGGATGGAAGAATACATCAAATTAAAAGCACTGAAATGATGTGAATGACAATAACCAAAGAGAAATAAATATGGAGTTGTTGGTGAGAAACCCAGAAGCTGCATCCTCAGAGTTGATCGTTCAAACCAGGAATATCTTCAACTCCAAGTCTCCGAGTTCATAACTTCCTTATACTCAATAAGATAATTGTAGTTTTTTTAGCAGCTGAACTCATCAAATCACTTCCATCAATATAATTTTAACTGAAATGAAAAGTTGTAAATGTTTTCATGCTGAGGAGATTTCTCTGTTTCGTCAGATTAAAAGTTTCCAGTTTGTCTTCAGCGACATCTGCTGGCCACGTGAAGCTAAAGCAGCTCCATGAGAGGACATCATCTCAGGTCGTTCCATCCATCCATCATCTTTTACCACTTCTTCCTTTTTGGGTCGTGGGGGGTCACTGGTGCCCATGTCCAGCTGAGAGGTGGAGACACTCTGGACAGGTCTTCAGTCCATCACAGGGACACATAGAGACAATCAAGCATTCACTCACAGGACAATTTATTGAGTCAGCCTAACATGCATGTTTTTAGAGAAAATCCAAGTATGCACGAAGACAACATGCAAACTCCACCCAGAAAGGTCCCGAGCCGGGATTTGAACCGACGACCTTCTCGCAGAGAGGCAACAGCTCTACCAACTGAGCCACCGTGCCGCCCTCAAGTCGTTACAGACACCAGTAACGCCGTCATGCACTGAGAACAACTGTGCTCATTTCTGTTATAGCCACATGCTCTGACTGATCCAGACCTCGGTTCATTCTGGTTCCAGTCTTCAAAGGTGCAAAACCACCAGCAGCTCTTGAGCCACGTTAAACCTCCACCCCACCAACACCCACAACTAATGGGATAACTGGATTAAGCCTTCAGTAATTAAAACCAACAAAAAACAGAAGGTCTGCTGGTAGCAAGCGTCCAGCTGGTCAAACATCCAAACACTTTCAGAACCAGCATAAAGTTACACCATACCAGTGGATCCTGCTCCAAACAAAAGGGGTTTAGGGTGGTGTTTCCCTTTTTTTTCTGCCCAAATGCCATTTTTATTTTTGCACCATAAAGTCCAGAGTCATCCAGTGTCATGGTCTTGAAAAGACCTTCTTTTAGGTCCTTTTTTTTGCTGCATCAGTTAGCACTGCTCTGATATTTGACCCGTTTCATCCACCACCGTCAGTCACGACATACTTTAATCGAAATTATCAAAGTTTAATTTGTCATCTTTGTCTACTCAGTGGATCAGCTCACACTTGTCAAACAGGAAACAATGTGTTAGAATAGATAATAAACATTCAGGTGTAGTTCAAAATGAAATAGGTGTACCCCAAGGTTCAATATTGGGCCCTTTATTGTTTAATTTAAATATAAATGATTCACCAGCTGTATGCCCTTCTGATGCTACAGTTATATGCAGATGATGCAGTAATCTACCTACATGCAAAAAAAATAAATAAAGAAATAGCTGCAGAGAAACTGTCGGCACTACTGGTACCAGTTTGTCTGTGGCTAAAAATTTCAAATTTTCACCATGTTAGTAAAACGGGTTGCGTGTTCTTTTCTAAGTGCAAAACTAAGGAATCAGATCCATTCAATACAATGGATGGACAAATATCAACAAGAGTATAAATACTAATGGATTCCCAACTTTAATTTAAGAAACATATAAAAATTTTAAGAAATAAAGTAAAATTTAATTTATGCATTTAGCCTATAAACATATTGGGAATAATTTGACGTTAGAAACTTCAAAACTTTATTTAAACGCTATGATTCTTTCTCATAAATTATTGTATGACGAGTTGGTCTCAGGCGAGTCGAACCACAACAACCAATAGAAAGACTCTGAAGACTTTGGACAAATAAAATAAAATTCTCATCATCATTGTAAAATATTACATAAGTATGACTTTTTGTGTTGGGAAAACATGATCATGTATTCAGACGCCATACTTGTACATAAAGTCCTTCATGGTTTGGCTCCACCGCTAAAAGACTTTGTCCAATTATATTTATAACCAAACATAAGGGAGACTGTAAAATAACATTTAGAAAAAGTTCCTTCGGTCATTTGTCATTTTCTGTTCGGGCTCCAAATGATTGGAATAAACTTCCATTAGAACTATTACATCATTAAACTGTTAGAGGAGATCACTTAAGCAATGGTTAATAATCAAAACTCATGTTCTGAATAATTCTTAAATCAACCTTTTTATTACTTTTTCCTTCCTTTTTCCCCTTTCATGGTTGTGACTTGTTTTTATTTCTTTATATAAATGTTTACAGTAAATTACACTACTTTTAACTATATTTAAAACTGTCATATGCAAGTTATGTATGTTAATTGTATTTTTTTTTAAATCCTACTAGGGGACTTCAGATTGAAATTAACCTCTTTATCTAATTGTGATGCATCATGTTGATTAATATTCATCGTCCCTTTATGAGATAAAGAAAGTGAAACTTTAAAATGAGCAGAGCATTTTTCTTCTTCTTCTTCTTAAAGTGACTGATCTGAGACGACCTCCCTTGTTGAGACAGGACATTAAAAAACGCTGTTTGAGCTGATGTCAGAAACCAAACACTTACTTTAGCATGCTCTGCTCCTTCTCCTCCTCCTTCTTCTGTCGCTCCATCACTGAGAGGATGATGCGCCGCTCCTCCTCGGTCAGGTGGCTCAGGTCCGGCAGCTCCGGCCCGGCCCCGGAGGGCGGTGCGGGTCCGGCCGCTCCAGACATCCTGACTGAGCCGCTGCAGGAGAAACACGAATAAAAACATGAGTAAAGGAGCAGGAGGCGGTCAGTCGGCGCGGGTGGAGGCTGTCAACACCTTCAGTGCATCGTGATGACAGTGATGATGATGATGGTGCTGATGATGATGATGGAGGCTGCAAAGCTGCAGAGTGTTCTAATATGTTCAGCGGCTCCGCGTGCGGCTCTGTGGCGCCTCCAGGAACCGTCAGAGAGCTGCATCTGCGCGCGCCATCACCATCCACCTGTTTACATGCTCGTCCATCCACCCTTCCTCACCGACGGGGCGCAGCGGCGTCTTGGCGCCTGTTTATGCCGAGCTCATGTCGCCTCCTCCGGCGTGCAGCGGCCGCGGCTCCGCTCGGCTCTCCGGCCCGCCGGCGGCTCTCATCCTTCGCTCCTCCGCGGCGGTCGGGGCTCTTCCGCTCGGCCTCCTGTCGTCGCGTTTCGCTTCGTCTCGGCGGCGCTAAAGAACAGAGCAGCGGCGGAGGAGACGGAGGAGCGAATAAATAAATCCTCCATAGGAAAAGGGGGCGGAGCCACGACACACGACGGCGTTACGTGCGACAAAGATCAGCTGGTCACCCGGCGGCGGGTGGGCGGTGGCGGGGCTAAACATAGACCTGCAGCCAAAGATAGACCGACCGAACCGAACCCATTCAGCAGCGGTGGATCGATAAACCCAGTCACCCGGTCTGCTGGAAAAACCCAGTTCTGGAGGCACAGCTGCAGCACTGACTGTGCAAAAGTTTTAGGCAGCTCCAGTTGTTTATTAATGGAAAATCAAAGAATTTAAACTGAATCAATGTCATCTGTTTACCCTTTAACACAGCTGCCACAATAACTCAATGAATTTATCAATACTGATCTAAAAGTTGGGGCAGTAGTACCCATAACAGATTGCTCAAGATCTTTGTTGAAAATGTTGGCTCTATTTCCATTTATAAACTCAAGCTTTCAAAAACCACCTGATTGCCACACTGGACAAGAGTGCCAAGAAAAAATATGCCCTTCACATTTGTCTGCTGTTATCTCACTTTAAATCTTATGAAATAATTTAAAAATAATAAATAATAATAATAAATGTTACTATTTATCATGTCATCTGGACTTCGTTTTTTTGTTAAAAAGAAACGTTTCGCCCCTCATCCAAGAGGCTTCGTCAGTCTGAGGCCTAGCCATCTGGTATTACCCAGAAGCCACCCTGACTCTTGTGTTTCAAGCCTGCCTCAGATACCCCTGAAGTCTGGCCTTTTCACTAATGGTTTCAAAAACACCAAGTTTGTTTAAACTTGTCAGTCTGAGGCTAGGCCTCAGACTGACGAAGCCTCTTGGATGAGGGGCGAAACGTTTCTTTTTAACAAAAAAACGAAGTCCAGATGACATGATTCAACCTTTTTTGTTGTTATATACCTGGATGACTGAGAAAACAAACTTGGTGTTACTATTTATATTTACGAACGCACTCTAAAGCAAAATTTTTGAAGACAAATAGAAAATGTTTCAATCTGGTGCTGGGACAAAAATTAGGGGCAATAAAATTTTATATATAATATATTGTCTAATATTTATAAATAATATAATATAATATAATATAATATAATATAATATAATATAATATAATATAATATAATGTTAAACTTGAATTCACAACTAAAACCTGACGCATTAAATTTATCAGAAAATATATGAGGAGAACAGCGCCCTCTGCTGGAGAACAGCAGTACCACACTGGAAGCTGGAATATCACTAGTGATAAACTTTTAATGCAGTTGTTTGTCATCACATGTTTATTTCCATATAATTCTTTTTGGTCCACAATGAACAGAAACACAATAAACAACTGTTAAAGACAGATCCAGGTTAAATTTGATTCATGAGACAGCCTAATAACACTAAAACATTGTTTTTAAACATATTTTAAGAAGTACATCAAATACTGTACTTGTTATTTCAATATATTCTTTAGCTGTCTGTTAGGTTTGATGCTTTGTTTGAATGCTGATCCACTCAACTAGTTCCTTGTTCAAAGGGTTTTATGGGCTGTAATTCACAAATCAAAACATTTGGAACAGAAAGGAATAATGTTCATTCAACCTTTATTTGCACAGGTTAATCCCATTGAACCTTGAGGACTCATTTCCAAGAGAGACGATGTGCTAAGACAGAGTTAATAACTTTTGAATTTTCAATTTATTTATTTTTTACTTACAAAACATTGAAATGCATTAAAATCTCTTCAATAAAAACAACATATACTTCTACTTGTTCTATTTCCATTGCTGTCTGCTCCTATTCGCTTTTACTGTCCTGCTAATTTTTTAGCATTCAGCTGTGGTTTGTTAAATTTAGCTTTTAGACTTTTGCTGCTTCCAACTTTTGGCTACTGTTCTACAAATTTTAGCAACCGTTTTCCTATTTTTTGCTTTTATCATCATTGTTTTGTTTTTTTTTTACTTTTAGCTACAGCTTTACTATTTTTAGCTTTTTAGTTCTACTAATGTGAGCTTTTAACTTTTTCCAATTCTAGCTTTACTTTACCATTTATTCATTTTAGCTTTATGGTTTTGCAAAATTTTTACCGTTTAGCTGTTTAGCTCTTTAATCACCTTTTTTCTTAAACTTTTTCTAATTCTAGCTTTAAATGACCGTTTTTCTAATCTTAGCTTTTATTTAACGTTTCCTAATTTTAACTCAGGAATAGTTTTGTAAATTTTAGCTTATAGTTAGTTTATAGCTAATTTTAGCTCCTGTCCTGCTTATTTAATCTCTAACCATTAATTTAATTGTTAATTATTTGGTTCATTTCACCTAAATCGTTGCAATCTCAGAATATCTCTTATGATTTAATACCTCCCACACTGAAGGGAACCAGTGTGACGTCACCATGTGGTCATGTGACTCTTAAACCAGCCTTAAGAGGATTATTGTGTTGTTCCTTCTGTCATTTTTATTGTCTGTTTTCTTATTCAGCTGCAGCTTGTTGTTCAAGAAGAAGCAGAAGTTTGTGGACAGTTAACTGACTGATTGATTGATGATTGGCAGCTTATCCATAGATGATTGACAGATGAAGCTGAACGTGTGTGCAGTGTTTCTGCTGCTGATTTGTTGTCCACAGAGGCTCGACTGCAGCCTGCCAGACTTTACACCTGCAGCAGCACTACTGCAGGTAGGACAGGTGTGTGATGGAGGGGAAATAACCAGAATAAACACAATTTGAAGCGGTGATTCTGTCACTTTTAGATTATATGTTGCACTAATGACTTATCAGCTGATTAGCTGTTTGTTTTACAGGAAAGGGTTTCAGTAAACTCTGAGTCAAACGTTGTCACATCTTTGAAGAAGAATGACTTCATGCGACTTCCTGGAGTCTGTCGACGCCTGAAGAGACGCAGAATCACCATTCTGGTAAATATCTGCTCCAGACCCTTTCGCATAAACATTGCTGTGCATCACCACAACGATGATCTATTTGTTGTTGTTCACTGTTTTGTCACTCAACTTTTTAATTTATTCATTCATTCAGAACTGTTCACCAGACCTTACAGTTCTCTAATATTTACCTAATCCAAAAGTAAGACTTTTAGCTTTGTAGTAATGTTGGGGTCAGCAATTTAATCTCTTTTTCCTCTTTCAGTGCAACATGGAGAAGTTCTGTTGGGGCAGGGGTTGGTGGAGGAGTCAGAAAATCCCTCATGGTCAGGTGTGTCGCTGCCCTCAAGGATCCAGGTGTTCGCATTTCTTTATTCACAGTCTCTGAATAAATAAAAGAAAAAACACAAACATTTTATTTGCTGCAAACATTATTTGTATTTACACCAATGTATATTATTTACCTTGTATGTATGTTTGAAAACTGATGAAACATAAGTAATAAAGGGTTTGTATTAAGAATGTTTTGTTTCATTTTAAATGTTTCTTTAGGTTATGTGAAGTTCTTTATGCATTAATTTTTTATATTAGTGTTTAAAATTTATGTAAATTGATGCAGAAATTGTTTGGCTTAAAAAAAAGACGTGTATTTTATTACTAATGATAAAAGTTGTGTTTTCTGCACAAAAATCTTAGTTTCAGTCTTTTTTCTTTTTTTTTGAGAGCAGTTGATGTTGTAATGTTCAATAACCGCCACCAGGTGGCAGTGCAGCTACACTGATGACGTTTATTCCGACTTCCGCCAACATCTGCATTTCCAACAGGCTGAAGAACTGAAGGAAATGCCTGTTACTTTCAAAATAAGTGTTTCAACAACTTTACATCAGCTTCATCAAATATAAACTCAAGTTTTCTTATTATTCATGATTATGGGGTCGGAATTCTCTCCCGAGCACGTCTCCAGACCATTAAACGACTAATACTTCACTATGAATTACTGTTATCAACACATAATACGTACCCAACATTTTTCAGTCAGGTCATCCGGACAGTTTATTTTTTTGTGCTGAAACATTTCGCCTTGGATCCGGAAGGTTCCACTTTGGAGTAAGCTGTTGGAGGAAGAATCAGTTTTGTTGTGTGTTTCCTTGACTGATGAAGCCTTCTGGATCGAAGGTGAAACGTTTCAGCACAAAAAAAGAAACTGTCCAGATGACCTGACCTGTGTGCATCTGGTAGAGCTGCTGCCTCTCAGCAAGCAGGTCCCCGGTTCAAATCCCGGTCTGGGGGCCTTTCTGGAACTCGTTTTCAAGAGAGACATATTTAAGGAGCAGAAGGTGGAGGTTGAGGGCCTTGCTCGGGGGCCCAGAGTGGTGCAAATGAGGGTGGAGGCAGGTGTGGGTGTTTTACCTTTTCCACCCACATTTTAATAATAATAATAATGAATTTAATTTGTAATGCACTTTTCATTAACAAAAATCTCAAAGTGCTAAAATTGTGCATTTTGATGTTAACGGTACCGGGAGTTGAACCTGCAACTTTCCGATCACAGGCCCATCCTCTCTAACCTCTGCGCCACCACTCCCCAGTCTGGGTGAAAAATTTGCAATCTCACATTTTGATGATGTCAGTCATTTTAAAATTTAAAAAATCCTCAAAACAACCTTGTCAAGGTTAAAAGCTCTGATGAGTCAATACATTAGCAAAGTTAAGTCCGGTCCCCTGGACGGCTTCTTTTTTTTGTTGAAAAATTTCGTCCTTCATCCAAAGGACTTCATCAGTCCGAGGAGCCACAACAAACTCAGTCCCACATGCAGCGCACTATAGTGGACCAATCAGATTGATTGAAAATGAGTTCTCGTGGCTCAACGAGACTACCTGTATAAATAAAAGGTAAATAAAAAATAATAATAATAATTTAATATAATAATAATAATGCATTTTATTTGTCAGCGCCTTTCAAAACACCCAAGGACACTTCACAGCACTAAAAACACAGTACTAAACAATATAAAATAACTATTAAAAACACTAAACCAAAAAGAAAATGTAAATAATTTTAAACAGTATATACATATATATATTTATTTATAAATCAGGTTTCTCTTGTAAATGAGTTTTTAAGACTCAATGGGATTACTGTATAAATAAAGGTTGAATTTATTTATATTAAATGTAAACATACAAATTTGAAACAGAAAAACCTGCTCTGACAGTATTCTTTTGACTGCTGGACCCTGTGTAAATTACTTGCAATTACCCATTTATGCGGTATTTATATAATTTATATAATAAAAATCAAAATAAATCGATTTCTGACCGTTGTTGTTATGCTTTTATTGTGAAGATACTAAACCGGAAACTTGTTGGCGCTTCTCCACTTGTTTGTGTTGGTGTGTGAGTGAAGCTGCCCGGTGTCTGTCGGTGGATTTAACCTGCTCTCCGTCGAATATATTCTGAATTTAATGAACTCTTCGTGTTATAGTTCGTCATAAACCAGAAGTTCCTCTTTGTATTTTCTTTTGTTGGATCTGAAATGGCGGTTTCTTCAGCGGATCACGGTGAGCGTTCTGACTTTAGCTAGCAGGTGATGTTAGCTCGTTGTAAGTGAACGCAGGCCGTATTTGTCACAAATGTAACCTCATCATATGACTCATAGTGTCTGTGTGTTTACGGTGTTAGATAGATATCTCGGATATAAACCGAGCTCAAGCTGGTTAAAGATGTTTAATCTCTTTAGCAGGTTGGCTACATGTTAGCTGGTTAGCTTGACTGTTCACGCCCGGTTCCTTTTGTTTTGGTTTTTTATTTAACTTTATGTACAATCAGCTGATAATTAAAAGTGCAAAGTTCATTATCTGTTGGTGACGATGCTGACAATGGCTTCAGATTAGTAGGTAAAAGGGTGTTTTTACCTCTTAATTATATGTGTCTGTCTATTTTGTACTTATTTATCTTCAGTTAATTGTTAACAATTTATTTATTTGATAAAAATAAATAAATACAATACAGAGAATTATAAAATCTATCACTATATGATATGTCCCAAGTTTTTCTTGTAACTAATGTGGTTTTTGAAACTGGACAAAGGACTAGTTCACAATTTGCTACTAGATGTTTGTCTCAAATAAATAATTTGTCCCAATTTCTTTTGTTATACTTAAAAAAAAAACCTGAAATGTGATAGTTTGACAAAGTATAAATGGACAATTATAAACTCTTGGTGACTGTTGTTAAATAGTTTAACAATATCACCAGTAAAAAAAAAAATCTATTTGAAAATAGCTGGATAGAAGAAATGTACTAAAAATATTCTACAAGATAAATCCAATATAAACTCTTAACATCTTTTAAAATATTAGATTGTATTCTGTCATAAATAAATGAGGGGTAGTGTGACATTTTTTATTTGGTGAATAAAATTACAATTTTCTTTTCCAACAACTTTTCACGGTAATGTACAGAGAAGAAGCATCAACATTACAAACAGTAACTGAGTAATAATGTTGTTGATTTAATGTGAAAGTGTTTAGAACAATCCAGACTGACCGGTTTGTTTTACCTTTCAGGATTAATCCGTTTGTTGCCTTAAACCCCTTTCTTCCATCGGAGCATCATGTAAGCAGACAGACAGGAAACTATCCGAGTCGGCCTGCACCGGGTTCAGTCTGGTCCAGAACCAGTTGGGAACAAGTCTGCCTGCAGCAGAGACGCAGGGTGGCCGTGGCATTGCCTTCCAGTTGGAGAATGGAGAGTGACTGTCGGATCCCAGTTACTTGTTGTCGGCCTCGAGTCCTCGTCCTCCACGCTCTGTTCTGGGTCCTCGTCTCCCTTGGGTAAGTTGAGGTCAGAGGTCAGACCAGTCCTTCAGAACTCGATGAGGTCTTTGCTTATCAGAATTGATCAAATTCATCAGTTATTTCTCATTAATTTACTGTTTACCTGCTTGTGCTCACATGTGCCACTTTAGCATCTACAGAAGAATAAATAGTCTTGACTATAAAATCAGACCGTGAACTTCATTTCATGCTTAGTTTATCCTTTGGTTTTATCTCAAATAAAGCTGATGCACTCTGTAGTGGGTTGGGTGTTGTTAGGCACCTACGATTCAGAGGCCTGTGATGCAAGATAAAACGATCGGTGCATGTTGATGTGTCCATATTCACATGTCAAACTAAATCAGCATAAAATCTTAGAATAAAATCTCTCAGACTTAAAAGAAACTAAATTATTTGCTGTACGCTGCAGCACAAAATGGTTTCTATTTAAACAAGATTATGGAAACGAAGACAGTAAAGGTAGTAAAATTTAAAAAAAAGTGAGTAAACTGACGTAAGATTCTGTGGCACTGGATGTTCCTGCGTCACATTAACAGTAGTCCCTCGTTTATTTAAAAAAAAAAAAAGAGAATCTTAAATTTATATGCCTATTTTATGACCGTCTGTTGTCCATTGTTGTCATCATTCTTTGTTAAGAAACCAGGTCTCTCTTGTAAATGAGTCGTTGAGGCTCAATGGGATTAACCTGTCTAAATAAAGGTTGAATGAATGAATTGCAGAGGTTACGTTCCGGACACCCCCCCCACCCCCCCCCCGCAATAAGTGAAAAAAATCTGCAAAGTAGCAACGTTATTTTTATTTTAGTATTTATATGTACATATTAAGACTTTATAAACCCTTCACACACTCTTGCAAGTTCTAAATTTTTAAACCTGCTTCATTTTAACAACATACGTACAGTACTGTATATGTAGCTACTAAATTTTACTCACCAGCTCGGCAGAACAGCAGCAGCTCGGTTCCGCTCCGACTCGGTTCCGTTTCGGCGGACCTACCCTGACTGTTCTGGTCAGCTCTCCAGCTTGGGGTAGTGGCGGTGGGCTCCAGAGAGAAGTCGGATCTAGGGCAGCGCATCCCCCACTTGGAAATCCTCGTGGGCAGGCTTGCAGCTCTCGGGTTCGCAGATGGGTCTGGGTCCGGTTCCCGGTGGGTTCCGTGCGACTCTCTGCATCCACTGGGTGCTGAAGTCACTGTAATAAGCACTGAACTTTTTTGGATCGGATGAAAACGTTCCCTCCATTTCAGCAGAAAGCAACGACTGGAAGCACTGTTGGGAATTCTGGGTAGTGCACTGTTGGCTTCTGGGAAATGTAGTCCTTTTGAGTAGCAGCAATACAGTGTAGGCTTATTGAGGGGAACTACAAAATGGCAGCCCCTGTCTGAAGTGCTTTATTTTTTTAACTTTTTACTGTACTGTATTCCGTACAGTCCAAATCACGTGAGTAATATTAAAGTTGACAATCGTGTGTCGTGCAATTTTTTAAAATTTTGTCCTCATCTTACTTTGAAAAACCGTACAAGAGCGAGTCCACGAAAGTCGAACCGCGAAGTAGCGAGGGACAACTGAAAAGCCACTTTCCTCACCTTGGTGTTTCTATTTTTCCCCTTTAAATTCATGGAGGCTGGAAAACTTCTTTGTGATATAAATTGGAAGTTTTATCAGTAAAGTTTAAAACTAAGCGATGTTTGATGCTTTGTGTTGTTGTTTTAGAGTGTATGGAGCATCTCTGCGAAGTGAAGAGAAAACGACAGGTACCTCCATCTTTAACACCTCCGTAACTGTTCCGTGAGCTGAAAGCTGTAAATAAACTTTTTGTTTTCTCGTTTCCAAACATCCGTAGCAGCTTTGAAGCCTGCTGTCGCTCCCTGCTGGCTAACGGAGGAGTTCGTGGTGTCGGAGGTGTGCGTCCGGTGCAGCGACTTCATCGCCGTAAGCGACAGTTTTATTTGCTCTTAGAAAACAGACAAGACCGCTTTGTTTTTACGCTTTAATACGAATTTAGATTTACCGTGGCATATTTCACGTGCTTGAGACCAAACGGTTCGGAAAGTTAATGAAGTGAATGCTTGTTTCAGAAGTCGCGGTCGGCCTGCAGCCAGACGGGATACATCGAGAGAGTGAACTGCACAAAGTCCAACAAGGAAGAGTACAAAAGGTTAGACGGCTCGCAGCAAAATATTTAAAACAGCACAGAAAGTTCTGTGAGTCTGGTGTTCAGGCGCTAACTGTTCTGCTGTTCTCCCAGCTGCCGCTCTGCTCTGATGGAGGAGCATCTGTTCTGGAAGTTTGAGGCAGCGATGCTGGCTCTCACGGCGCTCTTCGCCGTACTGGTGGTCATCCGTCAGCGCCGGCTGGATCGCCTCGCGTCAGAAAAGGTCCGCCGGCAGATTGAATCCATCTGAACGAGGACCGTGTCCAGTTTTTATCCTGCAGCCGTGTTTGAACTTCAGGTGGAGTTAAAACGATTCAGGCGTGGAGTTTGGACCGAGATCAACCGGGACTATAAAATAAACCGGCAAAGAACTGGACCGTTTCATGTTTTCGACACAAACTTTATTTTCAAAGGAGATTATAAACTGTTCAGTTCATCTATGACCTTCTTCTTCTCTGTTTCCTGTAAAGTTTAGTGCTCAGAGTTTATAGATAAATCTATGAAAGATGAAATCGTTTCTCTAAAAACAACTTGGGACAGATCAGGAACCAAATGGATCTGAACGGACTGAAATGTGAAATAAAAATGTTTCGGAAACGGTAGCTGAAACTTGTTCGTTGATGTCACACACCACCAGAAGTGTGTAGTATTATGGTCTGCTGCTGAATCTGTGTCTTGTGGTTGACCAGACACTGGTTTCTATCAGCAGGTTGGACACATTGTTACAATCAAAACAGGAACCACAGAAGGCGGCGGCACTGGTTTCTGTAAAAACTTCAGCTTCTTGTTAGCAGCGTTCATCTTTATGACCAGTCTGTAGTTTAAAATACTCAAATGTTTTTCTTAAGGTTGAAGTTTTATTTTCTGAAATTCTATATTAAACCCAAACCTCCATCTGATTGGCTCACGTCTCCACTCGCTGCACTCTGATTGGTTGCTGCATCAAACTGAACCAGTATAAAGACCAGTATCTGGACATGGCAGTGATTTCATCTTATGCTGTGTCAGCGTTTCAGACTCGTTCAGCTGTGAATTCTTCATCTGGACTAAAATATTTCTGACTGGCTTTAAACTAAGCAGCACACGGAGACGGAGTTCAGATGATTTTATTGTAAATAATAGTTTGGTTTATTTTCTGGTTTTTGTTTCTGTGAAGTTTCTGACGAAATAAACTAACGAGGAACTTAACATTCTGGAGTTGGATTTATTCACACATTAAAGTAAAAATTGGAAAGAAAAAAAAACATTTTATTTAAATAACTTAGTGCTGAAACGTGTTCAGTTTATGGTTTTTAAAATACTTAATGCAACTCAAGCTAGTAAAACCATGTTTTCACACTATAATTAACTTGATATAATTGATTTTTGTACATTTGCTCTTATTTTAGGAAGTATTTTTAAGTATGAACTGAGATGTATTTTAACTTTTATTCAGATTTTTTGGGAGCACTGACATCCAGCACATAACACCTTTTCTTTATAATAAACGGCAGAATAATATTTGCAACAATGACACAGTTGGACGTCACGAAATGTGGAAATGAACAATTTACAATCTCACTTTTTGTTGATGTTAGTCATTTTAAATTAAAAAAAATCCACAAAACCATGTCAGGGTTAAAAGCTCTGATGGGTCAATAATTTAACAAAGTTAAGTCAGGTCCCCCGGACGGTTTCTTTTTTGTTGAAAAATTTCGTCCTTCATCCAAAGGACTTCATCAGTCTGAGGAGCCACAACAAACTCAGTCCCACAAGCAGCGCACTATAGTGGACCAATCAGATGGTTGCTGGGACACAGGTAAATGAGACAAAACCATTCAGTATGTTTTTGGTCTGTGGGAGGAAACGAGTACCCAGAAAAACCCACGCATGCACGGAGAGAACATGCAAACTCCACCCAGAGAGGCCCCTGGACCGGGGTTTGAACCAGGGCGACCTGCTCGCCAAGAGGCAGCGGTTCAGCTGCGTCACTGTGCCGCTCCATTAACAATTCATATATACGTGCTAAAGTTTGTGGTTGTGGAGGAGTCGTTCTCATCACACACACCGAGCGTGATGACGTGAAGGAAATCTGAGCGTAACGTTTGAAACGACTTCAGCTGTCGACATGAAATGATCTTTATTTAAAACTCTGGCACAAAGAGTTGCAGGTTGTAGATTTTAAATTTGAAAAATCAACATTAACTCTAACAGTGATTTATAATCAAACATCCAGCAACATCGTTTTCCAACACGTCTGACCTGTAGGTAGTATAAAAAAATAAAACTTAAAAATCTAGAGTTTGCACAGCCAACTGATGAACCACAAACTCTTGACAAAAAGCTAAATTCAAACTACTTTAGAAGAATAAACAACAGTAACAAAATAAATCTGTAAAATAATCTAAACATTGCAAATTTTATTAAAATAAAAATTGTTCAAAAATTTTCCAACAAACAAAAACAGATTGAAATAACAAAACAAACCTTAACATTTTCGGTGTCAGTGCTCGTGGTCATGATTACAATGATGTTACGGATTTCAAAACATTTTTTCGGTGATAGTCATCTTCAAAACAAGAGTAATAAACAGTTTTATAAACAATAAAATACTCTAGTGTATTTACATTAAAATTATTGCCACAAACCGATGCAGGGGTTAACGGCGGCTCCAGATTTGTTTTGTGCAGTTTGATAGAAACTAAAGCAGTTGCTGCTTAAAAAAGATATTTCACATGAAGTGTACAAGAGTAGAGTTTTAACAAGTTCGAGCCGCAGAGTGAACAGCAGCGCGGAGATGAGTCTAAATGAGAAACTGAACATTAAAATTGAAAATTCTATAATAAAAATAGAATAAATTCTACATCACATGCTCTGAATTTTTTTTTTTTTTTTTAATAATTAAAAAAAGACAGTCCTGTTGATTCGATCTAATGACTATAAATGAGCTGAGTTTTAATCAACTAAAAGTAGTCAATAAGTTGAACTCTCTTAATAAACACCTCCTTGCCTCCTGATTGGCTGGACTGTTTCAGTGGTTTCACCTGTTCGAGTTTCTCTAAAAAAATTGTTTTCAATTCCAAAAGTCTTAATTCTCATTATTTGTCATTGGTCAGGAGTTAGATGTCAGTTAATTGGCTCATAGGCCGTCGTTGCAGCTTGCCTCTTTTTATAGAGAAAAACAAAGACTCCGCCCAGCAGCAGGAGGATCACAGGAGTCCCTAAACACACCACCATGATGGTGAGAACCAGAGGTGAGAACGAGTCGACTGGAGGAGCGCCGACACCCACCAGCATCGTCCTGAGGGAAACAAAAAATACATAAAGTCATTATGTTCTAATTCTTATTCACCAGTTCTGATTAATCGTGAAGAACTGATGAACGGACCAGCTGAGGAACATGGTTTTGTTGTAGAAAGGTTCTCCTGCGAGACCGAAGCTCACGTTCAGTCCCACGACTGCTGGATCCAAGTAGAAGGCACGAATCAGACCGGATGAAGCTGCCGTTTCCTTTCCGCTCTGCGACCGTGGGTCAGAGTGACGGCATGGCGTTGCATCCTCCAGCAACGGATGGGACTTGCGGTACGCCACGGGCTTCCACTGGACAAAACCCAGGATGTCTGAGCTGCCATTCATCGATGAGACCCACTGAAACATCTGGAGGAGTGAGATTGAGTTACAGAGGACAAATCAGAAACATAAAAACTAAATCTCCAGCAAATAAAGCACAACTTTGAGTGTAAGAGACAAAATGAAGAAGACTGATTTATTGACAGTAGTGGTTGAGTCTCTCTCTAAAACTCAAATTATGAATATAACTTTTACAGATTGTCTTTAAACTAGTCTTTTTCCTGGTTTAAAATTTGAAATGAAAAGGTTATGCCTTTATTCAAAAAATAAATAAGAAAAAAAAAGGCAGAAAATATCGATCAAATCAAATGAAGTGACATCGCGGTTATTTAGGATCATGCCTTTGAACAAAACATCTTCAAGAACAAAATCAAGTCTAAATATCTTTGATTTAAGTTGAAAATTTCAAGAGCTTGAGATTTCAAGACTTTCAATTCAATTTTAAGGTGAAAAAAAAAACAACAAAAAAAACCACGAAAACTGTTTTGATAATTACGAAAACTGTTTTGATAATTACGAAAACTGTTTTGATAATTACGAAAACTGTTTTGATAATTACGAAAACTGTTTTGATAATTACCTTGAATATTGACGGTGTGAACTCGTCATCAATGAACTGGCGACCGTCCACTCTGCTCAGAGGATAAGCCCCGCCCACCGCCTGCAGCTCCAACATAAACCTGGAATGATTTCCCCGTGGCAACAAGCCATCAAGCCAAACCTCCAACTGGGAGGAGTTAGCAGAATGTAGGAGGCGTGGCCATAACTCAACACGCCCCTCTGAGTCAAACGCTGTTAACTGGGAAAAATATAAAAAAGTTGTTAACAGAACTGATTGTAGACCAATTTTCTAAAACGCCAATATTGATGGAAATCATAAGGATCCCCGTCGCTATGACGACAAACCTGCAGGCAGAGCGATCCGTTAATGGTGTTTGGTGGGGTTCCACAGAGCAGAGAAGTTGTGCCCGACAGGTTGAGGTGAGCCCAGCTGAAGTCCTGCAGCTCGTACGGAGGGAAAAATTCAGATGTCGCCTCAGCCGTGTCGTTCACGTCATCGTACTCCCAAAGCTGCGAGACACGACACAAGTGTTAACAAACGCACACCCGGGTTTGTCCTAAAGGTGGACTGGTGGATGTTCCTGACCCGACTGAAGACGACGGCGGAGCTGTAGAGGATGCTGCTCTGTGGCTCCACCGTCAGGCCGCCGCTGCTATTAGGAGCCGAAAACTGAGTCCAGTTGACCTAAAAGACAAAAACACGATGTTAAACACCTCACATGCAATCTGAATATTTAAAAAAAGTTCAATATTTATTTATATTACTCAAATAAAAACACTTTTTACATTGAACGGACTGGTAAAAAGTTATTTAACAGCAAAGTACTCCTAGCCTCCACGCATACATATATTTTTCTGCATTTTTTAAAAACTACATCAACTTTTATATTTGTTTAATTTGCCATTTTACTAGGACATTTCTGGGCCTTTAGCTGTAAATACATGCTGATGAGCTTGTATATGTGTATGTTCACGTTGTAATTTAAAGTTCAGGTGTTTGGAGGAGTTTGCCACATATGAAGCAAACGGGTTGTGGTAAAACTTTTCAATTTCAGGCAAAAATAGATAGAAGATAGATAGATAGAAGCACTATTTAAACAAACAAAAAAACCCCGCATAGAATCGTCTCCGACTGTTTTACGACAGTGTCGTCAGTAGCAGACCTTGACGGTAGAAGAAATGGAGTTTGTGTGGACGAGCAGCAGTGTCGGCGCCCCTTGGCTGCAGAACAGGTAGTGCAACGTGTCGTTTTGTCCCACGGCTCTCACGTGGAGCAGGTCAAAACCAGAAGGAGACGGGCTCGCGTCAGGGTTCAACTGCACCGACAGCTAAAACACAGAAGAAAAGTCAAAGTTCTGCAAATCATCAGAGGTCAAAAGGTCACTACTCAGATGATAGGCCATTTAATAAAATAAGAATAATAAAAATACACAGGATTCATTTGGGATTTATCCTGATTAGATTATTGATAATTCTTCAACTGATTTCCTCTTGAAGGAATAAAAGAAAAGTAATGTTAAAGATGATACATTGTGCTCAGACCAAATTGTTTTTATAACCGGAGGATGATAAAAAAAAAAACACTAATTTTAGACTGAAGAGTTTACATCTGATGAAAACTAGTCATTGATCTCACAGTATACTTTGTCAAGTTAATTATTAGTATCACTTAAGTTTAAGACAAAATAATTGTTTTATTACCCAAACTGAGGTATAAGCCTATAATTAAAATAAAATTCTATAGTTACAAGTCTGTTTTCTAAAATTAATAAACAATTTAACTTTCAATTGCTTAAGAATATACTTAATAATGCTCTAAATCTAATTACATTTTATTCTAAGATCCAGTTTTAGATCATGAAAAATTTTAAGTTTTGATATATATAAAGAAAAAGAACAGTAAAAACATTTCTCTGCTAAAGAGCAAAAAATACACAGACAAAAATTTCTCTTTTATGCAATTTTTTTTACATTTATTAAATTAGAAAATGAAGATTGCTGTCTTAAACAAATGACAACCGTGTACAAATATAGATTTTTTTTTTAAACGAGTTAAGATTTAAACGAGGAAAGTTTATTGTTTAATCAACACTTTCGCTTCCGGTCTCATCTTTGGTCTTTTTCAGAATTTAATTAAAAATTTTCTTGCCTTACTTTAGTTTTCTTACCTCTCTTTTGAACGTCTTTCCTCCGTAAAACAAACTCTGACACGAACTAACAATAAGAACAAGTAAAAACACACAAACTTCGACGCTTTGCGCCTTCTCTGCAGCCGCCATCTCTGTTGTGACCAGAAGCCTGCGGGTCACATGATTCTCAATATCATGTGACCAATAAGCCCCGCCCACTCACAGCATCCAATCAGAAAATTAACCATTATAACAGTAAAACACAAGCTACATGCATATAAAAAATAAGAACAGTGTAAAACAGTTATATTTTTAAATAGCCGTCATTTTTTTAATTCTATCAATAGAAAGCTTCCATTTCTATTTAGTTTTAAAATAGTTTTCATTTGGATGTTAACTTTACTTTCCAACAGGTTCCCATTTATTACATTATCAATAGATTTGCAAATAATTTCATACACAAAACCCTGCAAGTCCAAATATATTTTTATGATCACCCTCCATAAAAATCCTGTGACCCTGGATTGATTGAAGACATCAGCAACTTAAAAAGTTACAGCAGCATCTTTGTTGTTGAATTTAAAAACTCACCTAAGTTAAATGTATAAAATTCTCATGTAAATCTGTATTTCTGCTCGTTGTCATGTTGACCATAAAAACATACCATATTGCTACTTTTGAAGTAACAAGTTTGCTTTAGTAGATCTTGATTTTTCCCTGTACTTTACATTCTTAAGGTCTCCATGTTAAAAATTACACACGTACACACTTCTCTTGCTCATATACTTACCGTAATGTTCATCTGCCTTTCTTGATTTCTGTATTGAATCTTTGACAGATATTACTTTCAGACTTTTCTGAAGGCTAAGTTTTGAACAGAATCACATTATAGAAACAGTCTCCCTACAAACACATTACAATCTTTATAAGTCTAGTGTTTTTTTTCCTGTGCAGACGTGTGATTTTTGTCCTCAGACATTAAATTAATTAAATTATCTGTTTAAGGCTTCAGTCACTCACACTCTGGACTTGAGTAAAAACACTTAAAAACAGATACTTAAACAAATAAAACTAGAGACAAGTGTCAAATTTTCTAACTTGGCTTTTATTAAGTTTCATTGAGTCAGCTGGTCCCCACACATGCGTGCACACACACACACACACACACAAATACAAACAAACGCTCAGTTGGAGTGACTCTTGCTCAACAGGGATCGAACTGGACCTATTCTGCTCCTTGTCCTCCTGTATTCTCCTCTTTGTTCTTCTTCTTGTGACCAGAAACAATGTCGTCGATACGTAGCAACAAGATGGCCGTCTGCAAAACACAAGGTCCTTTCAGTATTGGTAATAAACAGCATTGATCATATTGATCTGAACTGATCACAATGAGTGAGGCCCTGACCTCGACAGCAGTCTTGTAGGTCTGAGATTTAACAGCAAGTGGCTCCCAGATGCCGAGTGTCGACATATCACACAGACAGCCAGTTTCCCCATCGACACCCCAACACACACTGTTGTCCTGAGTGTGTTTGGCCTGAATTTGAACACACACACACAAAAGCATTACATTTCAGCAGCGCATGTTGGCACATATAAACAATAAGCAGCACACGAACTCCAGACGTGCTTGTCAACTGATTTACTGCCAAATAAAGTTTCGTGTTACCCTAAGGGATGTCAGCACTCGAATGGTGGAAGCTCCACAGTTCTGGATCAGGGTTCGGGGGATGACCTCCAGAGCCTGAGCCACAGCGCGGTACGGCCACTGTTCGATGCCGGTCAGAGAGCGGGAACGCTCCATCAGCCGCTTTGACACAGCCATCTCCACAGCACCACCGCCCGGGAGCAGGAACGGGTCGAGCAGCACGTTACGACACACCTGCATGGCGTCCTGCAGGTTCCTCTCCACCTCCTGAAGACCACACACAGCATTACACACTGAACAGATTAATGTGGTGGACGGATCAGCTGGGGGTGACCCTCACCGCCAGGATCTCCTTGCTGGCACCTCTCAGGAGAATAGTGCAGGCTTTGGGATCTTTGCACTCTGTGACGAAGGTGAAATACTCGTCTCCGATCTTCTTCACTTCAAACAGGCCTGCCTTCAGACCGATGTCTTCCTCACGCAGCTCGTCAGTCCGACTTGCAATGCGAGCACCGCATGCCCTAATAATTTTTTTTTAAAGACAGCGTGGCTTTAACAACATGCTACTGCTTTTAGTGTCTGATCAGTGTTCTGTGTAACCACGTACCTGGCGATGCGGTTGTTGTCGGTCTTCCTCACGCGGCGGATGGCGGTGATGTTTGCCTTCACCAGGTAATGCTGGGCCAGATCTGAGAGAAAACATCAGGCCTGATCAGTTTAACACTGGTGGACACGTTATACACATTTGTCTGAGAAGATGCTTTTTGTTTTTGGGATGTGACAGGTTTAGATACCTGAAATGCCTTTCTCGGTGAAGACCAGGTCTGGTTTCAGGCGGATGATATCCTCACAGATGTGCTGGATGTATTCTTCCTCCATCTGCAGAATCCTGGCGAAGTCTTCCTCCTTAGTGATCTCGATGTCAGTCTGCAGGAAATGATGCATCAGACACGTACAAATAAGATTAATTTTGACCACAATAACCTTTTACTGGAACCATAATCTTTGAGGAGGTTCTTCCCATAACACTTTCAATTTTTTCTACAAAAACAAAATGCTTGATGCAGTTCCAAAGGCGATATTTAAACACATAAACATCTTGGTAGACGTAAAATGATTGTACACTTGTTATAACACGAAGTAAAACACCCTGTAAAATGCATAAAAATAAAAAAATTGTTAAAAAAGATTGAAAGTAAAGTTCGGGGTTGTTTTGGTTAAAATGCAGCTATTGTGCGTTACAAAATGTGTTACCGAGTCATACCTGGCTCTCCCCCTTCTTGTACTCTAGAGAGCAGTCCAGCAGGATGATACGAGGGTTTTTAATCATCCGTCTCATCCTGGGGTGAGTCACATCTTTGTTTACCATCACTCCTTTCAGCATGCACGAGTCCTCAATGATCCCACCTGGAACCTAAACGCAAAATGGGAATTAAGAAAAATGAAGTTGTTCAAATCTACTAAAGGAATTTTGCTGTCAGAATTTATTTATTTATTTATTTGAAACGGTTTTCAAAGAGCATTCAAATTCATTAACCAGCTGCAGGTGGTCAAATAGCCGTACCTTCTCCACCTTGGCGTACTTCTTGATGTCAATCTCTTTGCGTCCGTTTTCCTCCAGTTCCACTGTGCGAACAGCATCCAGTGCAATGCTGCAGGCCAGTTCTGACCAGCGGCTTAGAGCTTTGGTGTTGATGGCAGAGTGAACAATCTTGAGCATCATGGAGCGATCTGAGGTGTCCACAGGGATACTGGAGGGAGAGTACAATGTAAATCTTTTAACACCATATGTAGTAAATCTTTTTTTCTTCTTTAATTTAAAACAACTGTTTGGTTGATAAGGTTAACAAAACCATATTAATATGAGAAGGTTGGGCACTAAAGTGTGTCAATATGTACCTGATTTCCTTCAAAGTTTCCAAAATGTCCTCCAAAGCCTGTCTGTAGGCACTGATGATCACTGTTGGATGCATCTGCTGCTCCAGAAATTGTTCTGCTACAGCCAACATCTCTCCAGCTGAGATAAAGACAAATAGAAACAAAAAGATAAACCTTAAATCCGATCGCCTGTTCTCTTTAAACACTCAGTTTGTTAGCCTTAGTAGCCTTCTTACCCAGTATTATAACCGAGGTTGTCCCGTCTCCCACCTCTTCATCCTGTGTGCGGCTGATCTCGATCATCGACTTGGCTGCAGGATGCTGCACCTGAATCTGTTGCCGTGGAGATGCAGTTTAGGAAACAAACAAGGACACAACTCATAGTAATGTTACCGATTTGTGACTCTGACCTCTCTGAGAATGGCATTTCCATCATTCGTCATTACAATTCCTCCTGTGGGGTCAAGCAACATCTACACAAAACAATACAAACGAGACACAAAACAATAAAAATGTGGCATGTTATTGGCTTAGTGTATTCATTTTAATTGCTGTACATCATATGTTACGTCTGAATATTTTGAGCATATAGGATCAAACTTACCTTCATCATGGCCCGTGGGCCGAGGCAGGTCCTTATCACATCTGCAATGGTCTGAAATAAACAGAATTTTTATGACTAGGTTAGATGAGTAGTGAGTACTCGTCAATAATTCATGATGAGCCTTTACACTGTGGCTAATTTGGTACAACTCGAATAAAGACTGAACAAATCTTTCACTGTTCACCTTTCAAACAGAGCAGGCGGTCTTTCAGCAAGCTAAAATAAATATTTTAGCTTAAACTAACCTTTGCAGCATTGATGTTTCCTGTCTGAACTTTACGTCCCGACTCTCTTTTCACGTTCTGGTCTGTAGAGAAACAAGCAAATAAAAAAGGCAGTTAATCATAATATAGACACTTTTGTGTTCCAACGGTAAGATACTTTATTTTCAAATTGTTATTGCTGATTTGCAGATACTGTACTGCACGATTACGGTACTTTAACGTACACATTAAAATAGAGTAACGGGAATGACAGATTAAGACAATGTAAAATATTAATAACTTAAAGATAAATGACTCCTAAATTAGAGATTGCAGCTCTAATAATTTAGTTTGTCTCAAACGATAAAATTACCTAAAAATAATTTAAAAAAAAAATTCCCTTAAGGAGTTTCAAGTAAAAGTCTTTACAAATAAGTCAAGCCCATTTAAAAACAGAATCCTTTAATATGCTTTTTTTTTTAACTAAAGCACAATTGTTATTGTTCTAACATTTATACAAATAATTAAAGTGGGTTATTACACCTTTATTCAGTTAACCCATGACATAGTTCGTTCAGAAGAAAAAATAAAATCTCCAAAGCATGTTTTCTTAACTAGTGAGTTTTGATGTGTTACACAGAATTTCTAAAATATATCTCATCACATTTAAATAAATTATTTATAAAAATTAAACTGTCGATCACATACTGACTGCTGTCGAAAAATAATTAGCTTTCACTTCTAATGGTTTCAACTAAACTGCAGTCACAAAACGGAATAAAAACTAGCCTAAAGGTATCACTGAATTTGGTTCTGCTTCCTAGCCTTAGCTGCACATTCATGCTGAGTAAGGAGTTAGCTTCAGCTAGCCTAGCATCCCCCATAAGCTCTTCGTTGTACATGAGCTAAAGATGCTAAGGATGCCGGGTGGAGATGCTAGCTTACAGTCGTGTGTAGCATTAGCTACATGCTAACATTACATTAGTAGGAGGAAGCTGATGCTCCGCAGTTTAGCACATGCTTAGCTGCATTGTACCCCAGCCGGCCCGCTCTACAATGGTAACAAAAGAGGTAGAGCCGAAAAAACCGGTGGCCACCAAGTTACACTTAAGTATTCAATGTTTAATTTAAAATAAGTTTTTGTTACTTACTGAGTACTAAAACCTGCTGGCCGATCATTTTGATAACGCGTAGCGGACAGCAATAGCCTCGAAGGTTCTGGGTGGCACGAGGAAAGGGAGGGCTCAGAAACAGGGATGGAACACTACATAAGATCTGGCCAATCAGCGACCAGGATTAGTTTGATTGGCACTCTCTTTCACCAATAGAGTGAATGAGGTAATGTCTTTTGGCAATCAGCCTTTTATGGAGAAAAGCTGCCAGAATCTATTTGAAATGTTATTACATTTTTCCCCACTTCAATTTATAAACTTGCAAAGTTCTTTTAAGTTGATGCTAGCAATAATTTTAAATTATCAGTGTTTAAGGACATTCTTATGGAAATATATAAATTATGAAGGAGCAAATATTAAACAATTTGAAATTAAACAACTACATTAAAAACTGAATGAACTCAGCAAAATCTTGCAAATGTCAAACATTGTTTTATTAAATAGTCACAGCAGAACTTCTGAAATTAAAACGGGCTCACAATAAAAAAATTAAAAAAAAGTCTCTGCTAAAGTTTAAACAATGAATAAATAAAATAAATAAATAAATAAAGCACCAACAACAAATTGTGCAGATGTTGCAATAATGATGGGAACCATTTTGTCTTTGCATAAAATACAAATAAAAAAGTGCACATCTGGTGGTTCTGTAAATAAGATGATCAATAAATACAATAATTTAATGAGGATATACAACATGAAAGACTAATCATTTGGGTAATGAGAAAAAAAGTGATTGGACTCAGTTTGTTTTGTTAGAAACATTAATGAGTGAATGCTCCATTTGCTATTTCTGGTTCAAGTTCAAGTCATGTCTGCAGCACTAAGACTCCGTCTCTTCACATCTGGTTTTAATCACAGAAAATAGGTGGTTGTATTGACCGTAGTCAGTTCTGATCAGTGGGTGAAGATGGGTCACAGTTCATCCTTAAACCCAGTAAGCACCAGACTGTGACTGGCTTCATGCTTCAGGAACTTCATGAAGTCTTTGAGCTCTCGAGTGCCCTGAAATCAAGCAGTAGACATCACACTGTTAAACATCATGTCAACACCTATCAGATGAAATGATTAAAACGCATCCAGTTGTGTTACCTGGTATCTTATGGGATTGTCCTTTTTACCAACTGGAGCAAAATAAATGGTTGGAAAGCTGAAGAGAAAAACAGAACCGCGTAAAATAAATATTCAATAGGCAATTTTTCTTAAAGTTTATTTATGAAATCTTCATGCTCACCCTTGGACATCGTATCCCAGCGGGACATCATTATCAACAGCATTCATCTTGGCAATGACAATGTTTGGGTCAGAATACAACTGAGAAAAAAGTTATAAAAAGAGGATTCAACATCAGCATCAGAGTATCTGTGAAATAAAAACGAGTGGAGAAAACACAACTTATTTTATGTTTTGGTGACAAAATAACCAGGTCTGGTTACGAGATGAAAACATTAAATTAAGCCATATGGTTTTTTTTTATTCCCCACCATGTTGGTACTATATTTCAGAAGTACATCAATATAACAGATTAAAGGTAGATTCATAAAAAATAACAGTTTTGTTTATTTTAATTAAATCCAACAAGTCTTATGCGTACCGTGTCAGCCAGCTCTCTGTAGACCGGTACCAACTTCTTGCAGTGTGGACAGGACGGAGAGTAAAACTGAATCAAAACATCTTTATCTGATTCATTCACGATGTCATCAAATGACTCTGCAACAACCACCTGCAGTGTAGAAGACACACAAACTCCTGTAGTCACAGTGAGGCCAGGAGACCTCCTATTCTCACTCATCGAATATTTTTAATAAAAAAATTAAAACGACTCATTCAGACAGAGTCACGTTTACATGCAGCTCCTCTCACCTTAACAGGACCGGTGTTTTTCTCAGGTATGGGCTCAGATTTGACGTAACGTTTGAGACGACCTGCAAAATAATCTTCCAGAAACCTCTCCAGTGACTGACCATCCCTCCTGAAACACAACAATCCCATTTCAATAACCTGAATACTGACCGACAGGGACCATTATTATGACTCAATTAACTCAACATCAGAAGAACGACACAGCCGTTTTAAATACTTCATATCTTCAGCCACAAAGAGAAATTAACAAATCCAACTAGATACTGACAAGCTTGTCTTTGAACACAATACCTACGTGAACTCCTCCCTCATGACATATTTGTGGCCCAGTTTGGTCCGGATTGTGACAAATGGCAGCTCGCCCCCGTCCGATGTTCCCAGACCATAGTCATCCTCCAGCTCAAATTGGAAGTCCTTCTTATTGGCTACAGAGAACATTAAGCCACGTCCAGTGTACTGAGATGCCACCTTCATCACCCTAATAACAAAACACGCAAGAGCAGGGGTTAAATGAACCTGTCCACACACTCAGCAAACAAGCCGTGTTAGTTTATACATCACCTGTGTGTTACTCATACAGTAGGTCTGTTACTTGTGTGTTAGCTGTACACGAGTGTTAACTGAATTTAACATGAGCAGAACATTGTCAAAAGACACCACAACAATCAATTAAAGCTCAGATGGGCATATGATGAAACAAACAGAACTGTTTTCTTTGTTGCAAACATAAAAAGCTTTGGAGAACTTTGGTGAACTTTCTTAGCCACCTTAAAGCCATTAAATCCTCCACTTATTCTGGGAAACAGGGAACAAGCCAACCCTTGAATTTATCATGACATCTTGTGTCATAAGCTCTCAGAAGCTAGTTTCTCAGATCACACCATTGGTTGGTTCACCATTTCTCAGATCGGAGGCAATGTGTTCAACATAATGGTATTTCCTCCAGTTATTTAGCAGTCAACAATGGTGTACCACAAGGCTCAGTCTTAGGACCCACCTTCTTTACAATCTACATAGATAATGCAGGTTAGAGCATCCCTGATGCATCCTTACATTTCTATGCTGATGGCACAATTGTTTATTGTTGAGCTAAAACAGTTGCTAAGGCTTTCCAGCTTTTGCAATCCGCCTTTGACATCATCCAGTCAGATTTGTTCCGTCTCAAACTTGTCCTAAATGCCGACAAAACCAAAGGGATGTTTTTTCAAACAGGAAGTCAGTCCCAGCAGTTCTTATTTTATCCTCAAATGGTGTCGTGTCCCTATTGAGTTTGTTGATTCCTATAAATATTTGGGTATCTTGGTCGATTCGCATCTCTCTTTAAAGCTTCACGTGGAAAACTTAGTAAGGAAACAAAGTAAAATTGGGTTTATTTTTCAGAAATAGATCCTGTTTAACTCTGAATGCTAGGAAACACCTTGTAACTGACTTTCCTTCCCTCCATTGATTACAGTGACATTATTTACATGAACACTCCTATAAGCACCCTGCGGATGTTGGATGCTGTCTATCATGGTGCACTAAGATTCATAACTGGCTGTGATTATCATACCCATCACTGCACCCTGTATTCACTGGTTAACTGGACATCATTAACTTCACGCAGACTCTCCCACTGGTACATTTTCATCTTTAAATCACTTCTTGGTCTGCTGCCTTCATACAGCTCCTCTTACATGTCTCTGCGTGAGTGCAGCTACAGCGTGCGCTCTCAAGACATTATTACCTGCAGTGTTCCCTCAGTGAGAACTGAACTAGGCAAAAGGGCCTTCTACTCCGCTCCTGGTTCCTGGAATATCTTACAAAAAGATCTGAAGTTCTCGACCTTGACCTCTCTAAGTGGCTTTAAACATTTTTTAAGTTCTTGGCAAAACCAATGTAGACATGTTCCTGTTTTCAGTTTTCTACATCACCTTACAACCTAACTGTTTTTTCGCTACTTTTCCTTTTATTTATCCTTTTAACCACCATTTTATTTTCACTTGTTAAAAAAAAAAACAATAATAAATTTGTACACATCCTTTATGATCGTCTATTGTTGTCCACTGTCGTCATCACTCTTTGTTAAAATTCAGGTCTCTCTTGTAAATGAGTCCACGAGGCTCAATGGGATTAACCTGCATAAATAAAGGTCGAATGAATTATGTTACCTGTTCCTCCAGTAGTTGGACCCTCGGACGTTGTGATGATAATCCAAGTCGTAATATGCTGTCAGGAGGTCTCGAACTCTTAGACGATCTCTGTTCTCCATCGTCATGTGAGGACACAAACCAAAGCTGCACAGACAGATGATGACAGTGACTCAGTAGTTCCTCTGTTGTCCATCAGATGTTGCTGTGCACACTGAAATCGGAGACTCTCACATGTGATCTCTGATGAAGCGTCTAAGAGAGCTGATGGTCAGATAATCTTTAAAAACAGCAACACCGTCCTCAAACGTGTTGGCCAGTCTAGGAGGTCTGAACAGCAACACACTCCTGGAAAGACAAAAGATAAACACACGCACATGTAAAATTCACTCATTTAAATGCTAAAACACAACATTTTAAAATGTGTTCTGTAAACTTACTCGGAGCCAACATGCTCCTCGGCTATCTGCAAATCTGTGACGTGAGCAAATCTGAACTGTTCTCTCAACAGGCCAGCAGCATTCAGAAACTCATCCAGACGAGAGCTGTCAGAACCTGAGAAAACACCTACCACAAAGCACACACTGCGTATCTAATCAATGACACCAGCTGTCTTTACTCAGAAAATATGTAATATAAGTACAAGTATAAGTAAATAAGTACTTGACTGGTGTAAAGTTGGAAAGTTAAACATGAGTCATACCAACAATACTCGCATCATAGCTGTTGACAAAGGTCTGAAGGTCTTCTTTAGTCTTCAAGTAAACAGAGTCTGGACCAGTCTGCTTCTTCATGTAGTTATAGATTCCATCTGAATTCACACAAACATTGAACAGTAATAATGCTGACTTTCAAAAGCATTTTTTGTTGGTTCTGTTCAGTTTTAAAATATTTTTACCTGCAGTGCGTGGTCCATCATAAGGTGCCGAGTCCTTGCCGTACCTGAAGATCTTTAGAGTGGGATACCCAGTGACCCCAAAATGACCACAGGTGTCTGAGTGAGCGGTGCAGTCCACCTGGAAGACAAGTGAGACCCCACAGGTTTTATATTTGTTTACTACGTTAACAGTTATTAATGACGATTCAGCATTCACACTACTTTTTTTCAGTTTTTAATTTTTTTCATACGCATTTTGAAGTCTAACTATATATATATATATATATATATATATATATATATATATATAGTTTTTGTTATTTTAGTCATTTATATAAATCAAAGTTTTTAGCTTTCAGGAGATGGATGCTGTAAGTTTTGGTTCAAATTTGCATCACCATACTTGCTCTATTTCAAAGATTCAAGGTTCTTTATCCGTTATACACATCACATGTGGTACATGTGGCGGAACGAAATTGTGAATACAGGGTCCCAATCTGTGGTGTAGTCTATGTGATACATGGGTATTCAAGTATATTCACTAGAAAACCTTGGGAATTTCAGTATACCCACTTAAAAGTGCCCAATGATACATGACATATTTTTTGTATAATTAATACTTCTGTATTTACTACTTAATACTTGAACATGTTTTGCTTTGTTACTGTTTTATAAATTCTATAACATGTTTTTAATACAAAGCCAACCGTTGTACAAAGTTTGTTGTTCATTTATTCAGATAAAAGCATTGGAGAAATTTTGAAATATTCAATATGCTTAAAAATCAAAATAAATTAATGATTGCATTGTACTAACTGATGTACTTTGGTTTCTAAGCACAGTATACCCACTACAAAAATGGAGACTACACCACTGGTCCCAATATATTATTTTTGCCTTCATATGCTACCTTTAGCTTTTAGCTAACCTTTGGCTACTTTTAGCTTTATGCTATAGTTCTGCTATGTTTAGCTTTTAGCTACCATTATGCAATTTATAGTGAGGCTATAACCTTTAGCTACTTTAAGCCAGCGCTTTGCTGCTTTTAGTTTTTAGCTAACCTTTAGCTACTTTAAATTAGCATTTTGCTACATTTGACTTTAAACTAGTACTCTGCTACTTTTTACTTTTAACTAGCATTCTGAACAACCTAGCTCCATCTTATTACTAATCTTACTGTTCCATATTTTCCTAACAGAGCACTTCGCTCTCAGACAGCAGGCTTACTCGTGGTTCCTAGAGTTTCCAAAAACAGAATGGGAGGAAGGTCTTTCAGTTATCAGGCTCCTCTCTTGTGGAACCAACTTCCAGCTTCTGTCCGTGAGGCTGACACATTATCTAGTTTTAAGACTTTCCTTTTTGATAAATCCTATAGTTAAGGTTGGCTTGTCATGCTGCTATAGGCTTGAGGCTATAGACTACTGGAGAACAAATTGACCTCATTTCCTTAAATGAATTATTAAAATTGAATAGTTTTCATTTGATACTAGTTCGATCTTAACATGCGATTCTTGACCTGCCATTGTGTATCTGTTCCTACTAAACCCAGCCAGTCGAAGCAGATGGCCGCTTGTCCTGAGCCTAGTTCTGCTAAAGGTTTCTTCCTCGTGAGGGAGTTTTTCCTTTCCACTGTCACCTTCATGCTTGCGCAAGATGAGAGTTCTGCGATGGAGTTAAACTCAAATGTTATAGAATTGTGCAGCTCAAGGTGGCTGCATGTTGGAGCAGCTCTGTTACTTTCATTCTGAGATTTTGCTTTTGGAAACTGTAATTCTTGTTTTTCTGGATGCAAATCACATTTTTTGGATGGTTGTTTCCTCTGGTATCGGATGCTGCGCAGCTGGAAGGATTTTTACTGAAACTTTTTTAGTTTTAGACATTTGTTATGATGCGCAACCATGGCAACAAGGCAATTTTCTACAACCAACAGCAGCTGATTAACATCTCAAAAGCTCGAATAATATCTAAACTACAGCCTCAAATCTCAAATGACTTGAAAAGGATGTTCTGTGGACGCATTCTCATCTACCTGCCAGCTGTGCTCGAGTGCCTGACCACTGAGATCCTGGAACTAGCAGGAAACACGGCTCATGACAGCAGAAAAACAGGATCGTCCCTCAGCACATACAGTTGGCTGTCCGCAGCGACGAGGAGCTCGGCAGGCTGCTGGGAGGAGTGGCCATCGCTCTGGGAGGAGTTCTGTCCAGCATTCGGGCGGTCCTACAGCTCGGGGGAACCGAGTCCAGCCGAGTTTGGGTGGACGGATCGGACGGCATCTGCAACCAGTTTCTTAGGATCCACTGTGGGATGGACCTTTACAAGAGATCCTTCCTGTCTACAGCCATCAGCATCTATAACATCTCTTTATGAAATGAGGATAACGAGTTACAACAACAAATAATTTCCCTTTGGGATTAATAAAGTATTTTTGAATTTGAATATGAAAGCGGTCTGCTCCTCATAAATAGTGTTATCAACTTATTTTTTATATATGAATGTTTCTGTTGAGTGCCCTGAGATGACTTCTGTTGTGACTTGGTGCTTTATAAATAAACTGAACTGGATTGAATTCTATTATTTTAAACTTTTGGTTATCTTTTGGTGACTGCTTCTTTAAGCTAGTGTTCTGCTTCTTTTAGTTTTCAACCACCCGTCTCTCTCTTTTTTTTTTTAGCTTTAACAACTGTTTCAGCTTCTCTACCAAATATCAGCTAAATCATTCAGCACTCAGTTTTCATAGAAAATGCAATTTCTCTTATTTTACCTTTGCTAATTGAACAGCTCCCTTCAAACGCATTGCTGCCTTCTCAAATTCTGGAGCCAGTTTTTTGCAGTGACCACACCTGAAAAGATATAAACAAACAGAATAAAAATGAAAATAAAGGAAGGACGTTTATTAAACGTTTAAGGAAAAATAAAATTAGGAATCAAGAGAGGCATGTATAATGACGGGGTGAATAAATGAGTGTAAATCGTGAGTATTTTTTCAAAACACGCACAGCTGATTACAGTTACACACAAATTCATATTACGGAGCTAACCGGTTACCATGGAGCGTAGAACTTCACCAGCATGGTCTCGTGCCCGGTTGCCAGGTACTCAAAGTCCGCGTCCCCGAGCTCGAGCACGTCTCTGTGCGAAGACACAGTACGAAAAGACAGCAAGGCCAGCGAAACGGCGGGAAGCAGACAGATGGGTGTCATCACGGCGGAGACAGAACTGAACAAGACTGCGTAGTAAAAATAAAAAAATATAAAAAAGACGCGATTAGCATCACCAGCTCGTAAACCCGTAGCGCCTCAAGAGATACCGAAAGAGTTCCGGTTATACCTTTCGAAATAAGACGCAGCGCATAACAACAAATATTGATTTTGTAAGAAAAAAATAAATTAAAAACATGCAGTCAAACTATCTTATTTGTAAGTTTGTTTTTGAACAAATAAAACACACAAAAATATAACGTTTCAATCCAAAACATAAACCTACCGCTTTAATTGTGAAGATGAAAACATTCGTTTTGGATAGTTTCCGCTGTAACTCCAACACCCAGCAGTCAAGTGAAAGGCGGGACTTAAGAGAAAAAAACCCGGAAATCTGCTCTCATTGGTCGAACAAGTCGAACTGATGTGATGTAACCGTGCTATTGGTCAAATGGCTTGTCAGTTCCAAAAAATCATCTACCTCTCGTTTTTAATCAATTAGAAATTTCCACTTATTTTACTTAACATATTTGTTGTCTTATTTATAACTCTGCTTAAATATATCTTAACAGACATAAATTTAGCAAAGAATATAATCTTAAAATATTTTGCTCATACACACACACACCTCTCCATCTTTCAATCCATATCCGTTAACCCATACATATACATGTATATATTTATCATGAGCCGAAACATCCAGTGAAAGAATAAAATACAAGCATCAATCGGTTGGTACTGAGCAACAGAACTGAACAAGGACAATTTTAGAAATGTAAAAAAAAATAATTCTTTATTGAATTTGTCTTTAATTTTTCTATATTCAATATGAATAAACAATCATTACAAAACCCTAACAGAATGCTGGAGCATCCTTCCCAAAACATGGAAACAAGGTTGTTAAGAAACACATCAACAATCAACAGTTTAACCTCCAGTCCCATAAACTCTTTGGGAAGATCAAATTTTCTGATGTCAATTGAGTTTTGGCATTAATAGGTCTTACAATCAAGTTGCTAGCTAGTAAAACTTTACCAAATAACAAAAAAAGTTTAAACCTCAAGGGTTTGTTGAAATAAAGTTTACAATTTTAAATCACACAACCGAATTAAATTGTAATAACTATTGACCATCGGACCAGAATGGTTTCCAGTAAAACCAAATGTGTTCAGATTGAAGGGGCAGCAGCACTTTTCCAAGGCATGTATAAAATAAAAGACCCACAAGCAGCGCCAAAGTGTCAAATGTTTGTTGATATTATGGGTTTACTGCTCATCATATGGAATGTAAAAAAAACAAAAAAAAAACACTAACAATGATGTAAAAATAAATAAAACAAACAAGAAAACATTAATCTACGGGGATTTTGTTTGACTTCAATGACAAAAACTATTTTTAATTTAGGTTTTAGTGTTCAAGAAGGTAAATTCTAAATAATTCAGGTATTCACCACGATAAGAACAATTAGGATTAAAGCTGTTCAAAACAAGTATAAGTGCTTTACAAAATCTTTAGTCTTAGGCCAAATCTGGAAAGGCATAGCTACTGTAATTGATTTTTTAACATTATTGTAATATAAGTGAGATTTGACTCCAGTTCTGTATCCTCGGAGGAACACACCGACTTGATTTAGAAATATTCTTCGAGTTGTCCGGATCAGCTGCAAATGACCAATAAAACATGAATGAACTATAGACTCAAACTGATGGATCCTCCAGGTTTGAAACTGTAAAATTCATCGATGTTCCTGAATTAAACCAGTGAACTACAAGTTGGTTCTTGTTTTTTACACCACCCTCAGCTAGACTTTATCTTGTCGCATGTGTTTGCATCGACTAAACCCGTAACTGGAACGTCACAGATGTGATTCCACAGTGGCAGATATGGATCGGTCTCGGCGCAGACGTTCACTTTGTGTTACTTTAACAAGCTTCTCTTTTGGTTGCTTGTTCAGTCGGGAGCTGCACTGTGCTCGCTTGTTGGCTGGCCCTTTGAGGGACAGGAAGTGGGCTTTTGGGATGCAGAGTGAAAAAGCTTCATGAGGTCTTGGAATCTAAAGCGTACCTGAAGGAAACACCAAAACATTTTTTAATAAGTTAGGGAATTTTTAGGTACTGATTCAACACAATAAGCTTTGTGCACCCTCACCTGTTGGACCGTCTTATTTCCCAGCTGAGAGGACACTTGTCTGAATGTGTTCCTGTTGGCTCCTCTCTGCTGACAGGCCGTCAGGATGATGCGATCAGCGTCACTGAAACAGCAACATCAGCTTGCTTTAAATGTTTCAAACATCTTCAATTCTACTTTTAAAAAGTTCTATAATGTTTTATCTTGTGTTTATTTGGTCCTTTTCATATTTACAATAACCTTGTTTTGATTTTTTTTCACAACAATATATATAATTTTTTTACTTTAGGATGGAACAAAAAGTTCACAAGCACACTAGCAAAACAACGAGAATGGTTTTAGTTAACAATGTTAACATGCTATACAAAAATAAATACCTTTGTGGTTTTATTAAGACAATAGTTGTGCTTCAAAGCTATAAATGGGCCCTTAATGCATCGTTCTGATTCAAGCAAAGCCAGTGAGAACAAGGAGTTTATTCCACTGTGTAAGAAAAAGGGCAAAATTAAGACGATGTATGTGCTAACAAGCATATTTCAGGCTGCATTAAATTCCCCGTATTGCCCATGGGCACATCACAGCTTCCTGACACCCCCCCC